CTTCTTCGTGTATGTATAAAACATGCGACGATTAAGTGCTCGGATAAGTTCGGTGATCTGTATTTAACGATCCACGTTACAACTGTTGTGCGACAACAAATTCGTAGTAAATGCGATCTTCAAGATCGATGCAGGCGTTTTTATTATTAATCGCGTTCGCCTTGAACTTATGATAAATCATACATTTAAATTAAAAACGAACGCTTTCCTAATCGGCGAGATATCCATCGCGATTGCAACATGTACGTACGAAACAAGTGAAAATGCGCAAATTTCACTTATAAATTACACTTTCTCCTTACGGCGCAGTATAAACATACCGTGCTAAACCCATTTTACCAAGCTTTTGCAGCTCTGTTATATACCAAATTGTACATTCTATTCTGGTAAACCCGTTACACCGACAGAAAAAAAGAAAAAAAACGACAACGACGATCGCACTGAAATTCAAATTTACGTTCGATCTTTGTAACAAATATCTTTCGATTTTTCCGTAGAAAAAAAAGCGTGTTCCGCTGGTACGAGATGTGGCCGAGCGAATTGGCTATGATGTGAACCTATTACGGCCAATCCAATGACTTGAAAATTTCTCATTAAGTATTCGTGTTACAGCACATAAAGAATGAGTTGGACAGTCATTATGTTTGCACTACATTCGTGGTATATGCGTCCTTGCTCGGTCCGAAATTTTTGAGTTCAAGGTCGTCCCGAGAACACAATACACGGCGTACCGAACTGTTTACGACGGAGAGATGTGTATACAGTACAGTGGTCAAAAGGATCCATCGAATGTTAAAACCGCGTTTCTCCTATTATTACGAACCTATTATGAAAATCGAAAAGTGAGAGAAATCGAATTCACGCGGAACGTGAATATTTTCCGTGCGACAGTACGGTGAAGTATCTGACAGAATTACACGACGCCAAGAAAAGTTTTTCTTTCCGTTTCGCGCTCGCAAAGAGGAAGGTTATTTCTCGGTCGATCGAGTACAGGCCGTGCTACTACGTCCTGGAATACGGAAGTTCATTTGTTCAATTGCTGGCGATACTTCTCAGAGTGAGCAGTTTCACCTTCTTTTACTGGCTCATAATAAACTGGGCTTCTTCTGTCCCACCGTACACACAATGAGCTGAACTTTCTTTCGATGTGATTCAGCCTTTGTCACCGTTGGTAGCGGTGTTCCTGGTTTACAGTATTTCTTTTCCTGATGCAGTGTCGCATTGTAGTGTTTACGATGTACCGTTTACTTTAACCGTAACACGAAACTAAGTATGTAAGTTCTGCGAATGCGAAATTGATCATTGTAGATTGCGTTAGATCGCGGGAAACGGGAATAAACCTCGCGATGCAGCAGAGCCCACGAATTAATTAGGACGAAGATGTTCGGACAATTTGTCGACGGTTGTTCGTCCACGATCGGAAACGCTCGTAAAAAAAGGTTACGTTTCACTGACCGATCGCGATGTCAATGAAAGCCTGTATGCCAATTAGCAATAATAAATTTATTATTGTTAATCTTTCATATCGCTTTTTTAGCTTAGCTATTACTATAGCCGAATAAACTTTATATTAAAATAATTTTAGTAATAATAAATTTATTATTATTATAATTAATAAATTTATTAATAAGACGATGTAAGCATTGATTCTTGGAAATGAAATCTTCCATTTCGCTTTTTTAGCTTAACTATTACTATAGCCGAATAAACTTTATATTAAAATAATTAGCAATAATAAATTTTATTATTTTAATATAAGTTATTATATATAATATGAATTATTTTAATATAAAGTTTATTCGGCTATAGTAATAGTTAAGCTAAAAAAGCGAAATGGAAGATTTCATTTCCAAGAATCAATGCTTACATCGTCTTGTTGAATAATATATATTCGCGAAAGGGTGTATTTGCAGTGTTTCAATTTGCAAACAATTTTATGAAAATG